AATAAGACTTGTAAATGAGGACTGCAATGCACTGCTTGTTTTTAGTGGGTAGGTTATGCAGTGTCAGCATTGAGTGGAAGTGCGGTGGAAACTGCTGGAAGAGGGAGTGAAGATATTCAGACAGATGGACAGACGAAGAGGAGTAGATGTGTATGGAAGGAGAGAGAGACACAAAGCAGGGGTGCGGGGCTTAATCAGGACAGCAGACAGCAGTCTGACCCACCCAGACACACAGCAGACATCTGCAAGGCTCCGGCCTCAGGCTGTTTGTGGAGCAAACACACACACACACACACACTCCCCATCATCTCACACACGTCATTTACATCCCTATTGTCCCACACACCCCACCTCCTCTCTAGGGAGCATCAGAGCAGGTTGGCTGCTGCCCTCTAGGGTCAAACCTACTGACCTAAATGACCTGCACAAACAGCCCCTCCCCCTTTCCTCCAAGCCCTGCCCTTCCTTTATGTCTACTATGTGTCTTTATGTCTAGAAGGACTGTCTGCTGTCTGGAGACACGCACACATTTGGGCATGTCTTTATGCAGATGTAGCACTAACAAAACTCTAAGATCGTGTCAAGTTTGCTGTTTACAACTGGTATTAACATCCGATGATCCAATCACATGCAGAGGCCAAGCAAACATGTATCGGCAGGGTTTGATGCTTACCTGTCTCCAAGGAGCACGTGTGCTCCTAATTTGAAACATTTAATAAAGGGATATATACACAAATATTTTCATTTTTATATATATATTTTTAAAATTAATCATTCAATCCTACTCATTTAAAATAGTTCTTCTTATTAACTACTACTTTTACTCAATAACTTCTGAATGCTTGTGGTGGCACAATTATTAGTAGGGATGCACGATACTGAGCTCCTGTACTCATACTCGTACTCGTTAAAATGCCCCGATACCAAACGCCGATACCACACAGCATGTGATAAGTGCCATATTCAGACAAAGAAACACCGACAACAGAACAACAGACTGCAGAATGGAGTTATTAGAGATTAAGGATATCTACGAAATATATGTATACAATGAATATAATGTTAAGCATTCAGTATTGACTGTATAGCGGATGTGCGTGAGCTGATGAGCAAAGCACGCTGAGTGATTGAGCACGTGGCGGCGCAGATGCGCGAGCTTGTCGAGTGAATATCTCTTTCTCACAGACATCACTGGAAAGTTTGTAGTTCGGTCGGATATGTCAAAAACAAGTAAGTAAAACAATGCACAAGTTAAAAATAAGACCATTTATAGAGGCATTCACTATAAACATCATTTATTTTCAACCGTAGGCATTCACGGCTTTCTGGCGAAAGTGAATCTGGCAGCCTTGTTCCCTGCATTATTACAGCAAAGCGCGTGATTACAGTACTGAGCCTCTGCAATGGAGCAACTCTAATCCTATTAAATTAAGGATGTAACAAAGAAAAAAATTTAACAGTGAAAGTATCAAAAACTTGTAAAATACATTTTAATGGGCATAATTAAGTGTGAAAATAACCGAAGGATATGCAGTCAAACCAAAAATTATTCAGAGACCAGATATAATTTTTGATATTTTTTTACTAGTGGATGCAGGACACTATAATTCATTTATGTAAGTGAGGATAGCAAAATAAAGTAAACAGTGACAAATTATACTTCATACAGTGGACTACCAGTAAAACTGATACAAATTTGGGACCAAAAAATATTCAGACCGAAAAAAATTGAAGTTGAGGTTTGCATGAAGCTGGGTGACAGCATGCCCAGGAGACTACAAGCTGTTGTTAAGGCTAAGGGTCACCCGACTACGTAATGATAGTTGTGTAAATACTGTCATACTAACAGCCGTCTGAATAATTTTTGGTTTATTGTAATTCATTACATACCTTTCTATCAAAGTTATCTGACATTATCAAGCTGAATTTGTTCTGACAGTTTAACTGAGTTCTTGTCATATTTTATTACCATTTTCTAAACTATAGCGAATAAACTGTGATAATGTGAGAAATGTTGAAGGTGTCTGAACAAATTTTGGTTTGACTGTCTCTAGTTGATAAATGAAGTTAACCAACTAACATTATACATACTCTTGGTTTCTGTACCCAATATTTAAAAAATGTACAAAAGGCAATAAAAATATCGGTATCGCCAAGTACTGGAAAAAGTGGTATCGGGGCATCCCTAATTATTAGGTTCAGCAGTACATAGTAAAGCACTAAATTCTTAATTCATTCATTAAAAATTTACATTTACATTTAGTCATTTAGCAAATGCTTTTATTCAAAGCGACTTACAAATGAGGACAATGGAAGCAACCAAACCAACAAAAGAGAAATAATATGCAAGTGCTGTGACAAGTCTCGGTTAGCCTAACGCAGTACACGTAGCAATTTTTTAAAATAAATTTTTAAGAATAAAAAAATAAGGAAATAAAAAATAGAAGGAAAATAGCATATCTAGAGCTAGTTTATTTTTATTTTTTTAATAATAATTCAAAAGAAAACAAGTAGGTAGAATAGAAATAGAATAGAGTTGATAATTAATAAAAATAATAATAATAATAATTTAATTAATATTATTACTCATTACTAATATTATTTAAAAATATACATAATCATATTTTACATTTATTTACACATTTTTACATTCACAAGCCAATGCATTTCATGTATTTGAAGACAAATAAAAAGTACACTAGGTTTATAACTACTTCTGCTTCAAATTGTATTTTTTAATAATTATGGAATTATTTAAACACTGAATAAATTACAAAATATAGTTTATTGTGTAACTGATATATCAATAATAACCAGAAAATAATGCAGGACTTTTAATTATAAACAAGAAAATCTGTTTAAAACTAAATTTTTTAATTTATTCAAACAGACGAGGGAGATAAACTATGCACTCTTACAACCATCTAAAACATATTTCAATATTAACACTGTAAAGTAAACATTATCATAATTGATCAACAGTAAATCATAAGCAAAAAACGCGACTTCTATTTCTGAAAATATCACAGTTAGGAGATTTATAACGAGTGGTTCCCTGCATTATTACAGCAAAGCGCGTGATTACAGTACTGAGCCTCTGCAATGGAGCAACTCTAATCCTATTAAATTAAGGATGTAACAAAGAAAAAAATTTAACAGTGCAAGTATCAAAAACTTGTAAAATACATTTTAATGGGCATAATTAAGTGTGAAAATAACCGAAGGATATGCAGTCAAACCAAAAATTATTCAGAGACCAGATATAATTTTTGATATTTTTTTACTAGTGGATGCAGGACACTATAATTCATTTATGTAAGTGAGGATAGCAAAATAAAGTAAACAGTGACAAATTATACTTCATACAGTGGACTACCAGTAAAACTGATACAAATTTGGGACCAAAAAATATTCAGACCGAAAAAAATTGAAGTTGAGGTTTGCATGAAGCTGGGTGACAGCATGCCCAGGAGACTACAAGCTGTTGTTAAGGCTAAGGGTCACCCGACTACGTAATGATAGTTGTGTAAATACTGTCATACTAACAGCCGTCTGAATAATTTTTGGTTTATTGTAATTCATTACATACCTTTCTATCAAAGTTATCTGACATTATCAAGCTGAATTTGTTCTGACAGTTTAACTGAGTTCTTGTCATATTTTATTACCATTTTCTAAACTATAGCGAATAAACTGTGATAATGTGAGAAATGTTGAAGGTGTCTGAACAAATTTTGGTTTGACTGTCTCTAGTTGATAAATGAAGTTAACCAACTAACATTATACATACTCTTGGTTTCTGTACCCAATATTTAAAAAATGTACAAAAGGCAATAAAAATATCGGTATCGCCAAGTACTGGAAAAAGTGGTATCGGGGCATCCCTAATTATTAGGTTCAGCAGTACATAGTAAAGCACTAAATTCTTAATTCATTCATTAAAAATTTACATTTACATTTAGTCATTTAGCAAATGCTTTTATTCAAAGCGACTTACAAATGAGGACAATGGAAGCAACCAAACCAACAAAAGAGAAATAATATGCAAGTGCTGTGACAAGTCTCGGTTAGCCTAACGCAGTACACGTAGCAATTTTTTAAAATAAATTTTTAAGAATAAAAAAATAAGGAAATAAAAAATAGAAGGAAAATAGCATATCTAGAGCTAGTTTATTTTTATTTTTTTAATAATAATTCAAAAGAAAACAAGTAGGTAGAATAGAAATAGAATAGAGTTGATAATTAATAAAAATAATAATAATAATAATTTAATTAATATTATTACTCATTACTAATATTATTTAAAAATATACATAATCATATTTTACATTTATTTACACATTTTTACATTCACAAGCCAATGCATTTCATGTATTTGAAGACAAATAAAAAGTACACTAGGTTTATAACTACTTCTGCTTCAAATTGTATTTTTTAATAATTATGGAATTATTTAAACACTGAATAAATTACAAAATATAGTTTATTGTGTAACTGATATATCAATAATAACCAGAAAATAATGCAGGACTTTTAATTATAAACAAGAAAATCTGTTTAAAACTAAATTTTTTAATTTATTCAAACAGACGAGGGAGATAAACTATGCACTCTTACAACCATCTAAAACATATTTCAATATTAACACTGTAAAGTAAACATTATCATAATTGATCAACAGTAAATCATAAGCAATTTCTTTTGGCATAAATGCGCAGTATACATTGATCGCCAACTGTTTGTGAAACCATGAGCCTGTAGGATGTGCAATGGTGGTTCATTTTCACAAATTTTTTCAATAAATCATAGAAATTTGACATTTAATAATCATATTAAGTTGTATCGCAAAACCAGCTTTTTTCCAGCTCCAAATTTAAGACCTTTTAAAATTAAAATTAAGACTTTTGTTATAACTATTTAGGACTTTATAAGATTACATTTTGAAAACAAACTGAACTGAAGATTTTTTGTGAATTTTGAATTTTGAAGGATTGACTCACATAGTCGGGCAGAACGGCCGTGTCGTCTGCTCCCAGAGGCCCACGCAAGGACTGGGTCGCCTGCTCCAGAACTTTATTGTGCTTCTTTGACAGCAGAGCAAACAAACTGAGAGAGAAAGACAGAGAGAGAGAGTTAGAACCACAAAGCCTTTCTTGAAATCATTTCTTGAGAGTGTATTCGTCTCGTCTGTCACAGCATCAGCAAGAAATCACAACAGCATGTCACAGTGATGAACCACGCTGTCGCAGCACTGCTGACTTTATTGTGCCTCGCAGATTTTCAGACGTATAAGATCGTAATCTGCACATCTGGCTACGAGATCAAGAGTCACAGCAGAGAAACTGCATTCAAAGGCGATGCTGCACTGACTAAGACTGTTCAGAAATATGTTAAGATATCTTGTTTTGGCAAAAATTCAAAGGCAGAATGACATGCATCCTTCTTGAAGGCAATTCCACAATGCATTGTGCTGAGATTAGAGAAAAATGACAAGAGAAGTTTTAAAAATTAAATATTATTAAAAAAAATTGTGTAATTAAAAACTATATATATATATATATATATATATATATATATATACA